AATTTTGAAAAAAATGTAAGAAATAATTGTTACGATGGAAGGGTGTAATATAAGAGGGGAGAGAGTACGAGATTCGAGATGGTGAGTTAGAGGGCCATGATCAGTGGCGGATTCGGGATTTGTGCCTAGTGGGGGTACCTTTAAGGTAAATTAAAGGTTTGCAAAGTCGTCCGATGTGTTTTTAACATAATTCCACCTTTTCGAGAGATTTTTAAAGTTTTTTGGTTGATTTCGAGAGATTTTTTCGTTTTTTTGTTGTTGATTTCAAGGTAATTTTTTTGATTTGTGGGAGGCACAGCACAGGTGGATAAATCATAGTTTATGGACTACAATGGCAAGCATTTCATTAAAAGGACTAATTGTACAAATTATCAAAAGGTCGTTTACCAAACTCTTATTCGGTAAGCATTTATTGACAAGAGTCACCACTCTAATTTACCTTATGTAGTAACATTATTTATCATCAAAATGGATTGATGGTAAGCGCTTATAATCCGCTAAGCACTTACTGATAAGAGTTGTCACCCTCATTTACTGGGTAAGACTTTTGATCATTATATTTCCTCTTACCATGTAAGATTCTCGGTCCTCGTTACGTTCACTGGGTAAGATAATTAAACCGGTTAACATTTACTAAAGTAAGTATTTAGTAAACGATTCTTAAACATCGTTTATTAAATATTTTTAGTTTTGGCAAAGAGGTTTTGGTTGTGAAAGGGCGCATAAAGCCCAAATAAATCTTTAACCAATTTGGGTTTTATAGATTTGTCCCAACCCAACTAGAGAATTTAGGCCCATAATTAATTTGGGCTGGCCTACTTTCTCATTTTATATCAATTGTTGTTTTCATTGATCGTATTTTTATATAAAACAATAACATATTTATATTATTGTGTATTTTAGCATATGCAATATTATTATTTTATATAAAATAATAACATATATAGTTTAGTTTTTGTTCATTATTTTAATGATATGCTCCATTTTGTAAAAAATATGATGGTAGGCTCGAACTCTATAAAATTAATTCGTCAAATATAAAATATCATGATTATTAGAAACCCGAAGACTTCATATACACACTTGCAAAGTTAAAACAACCAAATATTACAAGTCAATAACGCTTTGACTACTTATATTATAAATCAAGACCACCTTAACCACCAAAAACTGCATACGAATAGCCAGTGAATAGCATATTATGACTCACATACGACTTAAAGAAATGATATTAAATTAAGATATGTTAAGGAAAAATAAATGTTCGAAAATATAACAAGGCATGTAAGAACTTGTTTCTAGTTGGGGTGTAGGCTTTTCAAGTGAAAACGTTTGATCAAGATGGAACAGTGAAAACTACAGTTTTTGTCATCGTAAATTTTTTTTATTGGCTTGTTTTATCCATTGGCTTCAGTGATCCAAAAAAGACATGACCCGTCTTGTTAAATGTTGTTAACGTCATGAAATGTGTGTGTGAATGAGAGATGTATGACGAGACACCGAAGGTTATATATGTAAAAACTATAATTTTGGAGATAAAAAATATTCGATTGATAATGAAACCAAATTATAAGATGGTTGACTTTTTGGTGAGTTAAGTTGGAAGATATCATTTCAAAAGAACATTTTTACATGTGAAGTATAAAGTGTTGAAGATTTTTTGGACTTAAAATTTATAATTCAATGGTGATGTTTCATTAGTTTGAGTTTGGCTCCAAAAATCAAAAGTTCCAGAAGGTCATAGGTTTAAATCCAAAGAAAAATATAAATCTCCTTGTGGCCACAGAGGTTCAAATGCAATGACTCTAAGTTATCTGCAAAGCCAAGTAATCGTCCATAAATTAGTCGAATCACATAGCGAGTTGGATATCCAGGTTAATAAAAAAAAAATTATAATCCAACAATAATTCTTAATTATTTTAAGAGGGTTTTGTTTCATAAAAGAGTCAACAACGTTGACCGTTTTAGGGCGGTTTGGTCAACAAAGGTTTTCTACATATCATATGTCGCCAGCTCAAGTCATTTTCTTTGAAAATACAAACTGAAAAAACATCAGGGACCAAATAGTAATTATCGAAACTTAAAACTAGTCAGGTGCCAAGTGAAAGAAGCCTCAAAATCCAAGGACCTATTTTGTAAATTGTCAAAATGCTGACGAGCAGCGTTTGCTTAAGAAAGGATAGGTGTCAATTGAGGGTGTACCATACATACTATCATCGGTAAGGAACGAAATACACAGAATAATTTCACGAATACTCAAGATTTGAAGGAGAAATCGATGGTGGAAGGCGACAATAACCGAAACACGAACAAAAACCTCGAATTAGGGTAAAATCTCAATGCTTTTCTTCGAATTATTTACATAGATCTGATCGATTCAAAGTTCCGAAGTTCATAACATGGTTTTAATGAATTTACAGTAGCTTTTTAAGTATCAATTTTGAGTTTAGATGTCAAATATTCAGTAAAGAACGGAAAAAGTAAGAATTAATGGTCAAGGGAAAGTTTATATGTGATTACTTATCGGTCGTTCTTAAATTGTTCAATGTTGTATTCTTGATCACTCTCGATCCTTAGTTTGATCCCATGTCAGTCATGACTTGTTCTTAGATGACTCCAAAATTCATTTAGGAACGGAATCCGCACGGGAGCAATATTCTCAAGCAATGAGTACGGGAGAACAATTCTTATCTAGTGAATCTTTTCAGAGCACGGATGGTACATAAATAGTTGGAATCAAGGAATATGAAAAAGTAAATAATGACGCTAACCGATAAGTAGGCCCGTCTTTCTTTAGATACCATCGAGCAACGTGGGTGAATTCCAAGAAGCACTGCTAACAAAAGTTAACAAAAAGAATATTCGTGTAGAGAGTATAGAAAAAAACATACGTTTAGATCTGAGTCGTCTGTTTTTAAAAATTTACTGATTTATAAAAAACGTTCATATTTTTATTTATTGGAATTTTGTGTTATATTTGAGGTAACGATTAACGAGATCTGATGTGAAGCATGAAAGAAAAGGGATCACATGGCAGCCAAAGGGGAATTTGGAGGTGATTGTGGAATTGAATGCTGTCACATGATCCTCCATGTGGTTCATAACACCCCACCCACTACTCCACATGTTTTTTCTTTTAACTTCTCCCATTTTGCACTACAACCCCTTCACCTTCAACTTCAACTAACCAATCATTTGTCTTCTACTCCTATTTTTGGCATTTTTTTAACCATTCAAACATTATTTTTATTTATTTTATATTATTTATATCTATACTACATTATAAAGCAGATTTATCAAAAGTTTTAAAAACAATTTATAATGTATTAAGTACTATTATTTTATGCATTCAGTTTTAAAATCTCTTAATCTACAATTAAAATAACATATAGTACAAGTTACTAATGCACATTATTACATTTTCTTTTCATGTTCGCAAGATACTTTTGACACATTTCACTCATGTCTTCACCCTCTCATACCTCTATGTCTTCTCCCCATCCACCAAGGTGAGATCCAAATTCATATTCACCATGAGTTATTAAAAGTTCTCACATTCATCTTCCATTCAATTGCTCTAGAACTCTCGGTTTCGCTCTCGATCTTGATTCTTTGCTCTTGGTGTAAATCAAACACATTTTATAGAGTCGTTTAAATATGTTGGATTTTAAATATATTGGATTTTAAACTGTCATACAATTTTCATTCATCGATAGACTGTAATTGGAACCATAACTCTTATTTATTTAAATTGTATTAATATGTAAAGACCAAGTGTAACATGTATCATCGTTAAATCTTCTCTAATAAAACCAGTGAAACTTCAAAATCATTAAAATTCACGGTTCCAACCGCGTTGTGTGGGTACACAACTAGTTTATTTTAATACTTGATGTTGACATAATAATGCAAAACTTATGTTTGTTTTTAAATGGACTTTTTTATATTGTAAACTGTTAATTAACAAGACGTAAACTTAAGATTCCCTTCGCAATGACCTTTAGAACGCTTTTTAAATTCTGATAGGATGCTCGTGCTAGAAAAAAAAAATGGATTCACTAATAATTTGAGCATCTTTCCAACATTCTTTTTATGAATAAGAGATGGAAGAAGTACGCTGAGGTTATCATAATCAACTATCTGACATCAGAAGCTTTGGTATATTTCATATGTTCAAGTGAACTTTGAAAGTCGTTAGACAAACACTGATATTAACGTATTTAGACTTCATGTTATCTGAAAGGAGCATTGTAACGTAACGTTTTATAGGTACTGTGTGAAACTAGATTGAAAAACCACTAGATTCAAACAAACTCGCAAACCCATATTTTTCGTTGCTATCGTACTGCCACCGATAAGATATCGTATTCATCGCCTCAACCATGAAAAATATGAAAAGGGAAAAAGCGTTTCAATGATATCAAAGACATTGGATAAACTTAAGACCATCATTAACAGGGACACCAAATATCTTACATTAAATACCAACTTTGTCATTAATTCATTCTAATAAAATACCAAATTCAGTGTAATAAATACTAACCCACCAAATCCGGGATAAACACTGTTCATTAACACCAAATTCTACATCAATTGTAGAAGAAAATTGAATATAAAGCAAACGTCATTTAACTCTATTTTAAAAATGTCAACATTAATTATATTATTAAATTATTCAATATTCCAACAAGCTTCTATGTTTTTTTAATTAAAAATATATTTTTATACCTTGTTTCTTATTTTCAGTATTTTATATAAGAAAATGGTACGAGATTTCACACAACATGAGACAAATGTTGTTGAAGGAAACATGTAAAATTGTAAAAAAGAGAGTTAAAGGTGAAATTTTGCGCGTTGGTGGATAGGGTTGGTGAAAGGGGCCCACACAAGGGGGTTGGTGGGGGGTCCACATCCAAAGGGTTGGTGGTTTCTCGCTGTACAACGCGCATCCTTTTGCAGTTGTGCACCTATAAATTCACACCTACTTACTCGTAACCAAATCGTCTCTCTCTCACATCCTTCCTCATATCTCTTTCTTTCTGGATCTGAAGATTTGATATTTTTCTCCCCAAAGAACAGGTACGACCGATTTCTTCGATTACATCTGTTTATAGTATTTCATTTCGACTCAACTTCCAGATCTGGTTAGGGTTTTGTGTTCTTTCTTTTCGGACTTTGGATCTCGTATGTAAGCTTCTCTTACTTGTGATTCGTTTAGTTTGTGCTTGTTTTGTTAGATCTGAATGAACTACTTCGATCTCTTATTTCTTGAGCCTTAATAATGTATAAGTATTCGCTGATCCGTCCCTCATTTGTCTGTTGGTATCGGTTTGAAGATGTTTTTGTTCCTTTGTGGCCTCATTTGAAATGTTGGTGATTAGTTTGTTCAGGAAATATGTGAATTTATACTGCTAGGGGACAGATCTTGTTGTTTATGTCTAAGATTTTCATGTTCCTTACCATTTGATCCCTGTTTATCTGAAACGAGACGAGTGAGAAGTAGTCAGTGAGAACAAAGCAGGATCTGTGTATTTTTCGTATGATTGACGGCAAAGTCAACCTTATAAGTTGATAATACTTTATTGGTTAAAGAAGGATGGATTCTTTCGGTTCTTTTGTTATCAAGTCCACTGTTAGAAACTTGGATGTTTTTCAAATCACAAACTCCTCACCAACTAGTTTTGAGTTTTCTTCACATTATAGTTATTACTAAGAGAGAAATGTTGATCTGTAAGTTCTCTACCATTACTGAATAGCAGCATATGAATAGTCCTGTGTCGTTGTCAAATTGGATCATGATACATGTATAAATTCAAAAGATTTATGATGTTTTAACTTATGTAAGCACTTCTAGTGAACCAAAGTTGGTGATTTCGATGAACAATCAAGTTTTACCCAATTATGTGGAGCATGGTGGATCTGTAACATTGTTTACTGTCACCTCCGCATTTGTGAAATATGTTACTACCTCTTTAATGGCTTAACTCTGACACACCAAATTGAACACTTGTTCTGCTCATCATATTTGAGGTGCAACAGGACAACTATTTAATTGCAAATGCGAACCATTTGAAAACAAACAAGAATTATAGAGAAGCTAAATGGATTACTTGAATAATCTTCTAGCTAATAATTTTTGGCAAAAGTAATTGGCTGCCTATTAGTATTCCTGGGAATTTTCTTTCTTGATATCATTTATTTATTATGTGGACAAACCGAACTTTGCATGTGTTTTTTTTTTCTTATTACTGAGCATTCTACCACTTAGTTTACCGCTAAAACCTTCTCTCTTGCTTGTCCCAGTTAAGAGATGGAGACCTTCCTATTCACATCTGAGTCCGTCAATGAAGGACACCCAGACAAACTCTGCGACCAAGTCTCAGATGCTATCCTTGATGCTTGCCTAGAACAAGACCCCGAGAGCAAGGTTGCCTGTGAAACCTGCACGAAGACCAACATGGTCATGGTGTTCGGTGAGATCACCACCAAGGCTACCGTAGACTATGAAAAGATAGTCCGTGATACTTGCAGAGAAATTGGATTCATATCTCCTGATGTTGGTCTTGATGCCGACCACTGCAAGGTCTTGGTCAACATCGAGCAACAAAGCCCTGACATTGCCCAGGGTGTTCATGGTCACCTCACCAAGAAGCCAGAGGAAATTGGTGCTGGAGACCAGGGACACATGTTTGGTTATGCTACTGATGAAACACCAGAGCTTATGCCTCTTACCCATGTCCTTGCAACCAAGCTTGGTGCCAAGCTCACTGAAGTGAGAAAGAACAACACTTGCCCATGGCTCAGGCCCGATGGTAAGACCCAAGTGACTGTTGAGTACCACAATGACAACGGTGCTATGGTCCCTACTAGGGTTCACACCGTCCTAATCTCCACCCAGCATGACGAGACTGTGACCAATGACCAAATTGCTGCTGATCTTAAGGAGCACGTGATCAAGCCTGTGATCCCAGCTCAGTATCTTGACGACAACACCATCTTCCACCTGAACCCATCAGGCCGGTTTGTGATCGGTGGTCCTCATGGTGATGCAGGTCTTACCGGAAGGAAGATCATCATCGACACCTATGGAGGATGGGGAGCTCATGGTGGTGGTGCTTTCTCCGGGAAAGACCCTACCAAAGTGGACAGAAGTGGTGCTTATATTGTTAGGCAAGCCGCCAAGAGTGTGGTGGCTTCTGGACTTGCACGCAGGTGCATCGTTCAGGTCTCTTACGCTATTGGTGTGGCTGAGCCACTGTCTGTTTTCGTGGACACTTACAAGACTGGAACGATCCCAGACAAGGACATCCTTGTTCTAATCAAGGAGAACTTCGATTTCAGGCCTGGTATGATGGCCATCAATCTTGATTTGAAGAGGGGTGGAAACTACAGGTACCAGAAGACGGCTGCTTACGGTCATTTTGGTCGTGAAGATCCCGACTTCACCTGGGAGACCGTGAAGATCCTGAAGCCAAAGGCGTGAGTGTAACAAGGATGATTCTTTTACCCCTTAAGGAGGAGGTGGACGACATACGTAGGAATTGTTGGAAGCTTTTGATTGTTTGGTCAAATGTTATGTTTGTTTGTCTTTTTATATTTGTTTGCTGAGAAACATCTTAGGATTTCTAAAGTTTCAGTATTTGATGGAGAAGCCCTTATGTTATATGTGTAATCTTTGAACAAATTTTATCTACTGGAGTTCATGATTTCTGATTTTACAGAATGTTGTTCACCATAATTACTCAATTACCTACAATAAAAAAAATACAGCACTTTCTATTAGTTTTCATTACTTAAAATTAGTAAATGTATTGTTTTTATTAATTGAGTATTAGATATTTGGTTAATTATTAAATAAATGTTTATTGAAAACCATCCGATCTTAAATTATCTAACAAAAGAACCCCACATAACACATGAATGACATTTTAAAACAAAACCAAACCAAACAGCCTACTGGGTGAGATAAATGATATTCAAAGCCGACTAACCACAAGGGGTTGACTCAGTAGCCAATTTATTCTGAGCCTAGTCTGTAGGCTACGACAACCTCCCCCATAGGAAGGAAGGGCTTTGAATGACTACATATTCAGTAACAACATAATTAAATAACATTAGAAAGTCAAAGTATTTTAGTATTTGTTTTTTCTAGAAAAACTTATAACTATTATTTAATTATTTTGATTTTAAAAAGACTAAAAAAACTAGAAGCAATTTTCTACACTTAAAAACTAATTATAACATTTTAAAATTTTGGAATCAACAATATTATCATGTAGGTAGGATATGTGTAAAATAAAATACATCAATATTTATCAGATTAATTTCTGAATGATATACCGACAAGGCCAAGTCCACGGTCACACTCAAATGAGGTTAAGCCATATCGCTACACTTTGCATGATACTTATATAATTCACAACAAAAATCCATAACATCATCTAATAGACCATAAAAATCATAACTCTCCGATATTTTTATCTCGGAAGAGCCTTTCAATTTTTGTAAAACACTAATTATGTGGGTGGAAAAGAAATCTACATCCATAATAACTTCTCTTTTTTTTTTTTTTTTGAGGAAGGATGTTCCAGGCTATGTCACACTATTCCCGGCAGATTGCGACTATACAACATTAACTCTGATAAACTCAGTGGTCACAATTATTAGTAATTTCTACTTTGTGGCTTTAAAAGTTGCAACTTGATCTGAACTTGTAAAATGGATATAGCCAAAATATGATCCTCCTCCAAGGCTCCAACCAATATCTTCTTAATAACCTTGCACCACATGTAGTTAAAATTGTACATTCTTAAGCCGATTTCAGCTCTAGAAAGGGGATCTCAGGACGTAATACAGTTGCCTCCACGATGATATACTTGCTATCTTCTCCCAATCCTGCAGGCAGAGAAACACCAGTTGTCATATTCAGTCAACCCGTTTCAATGATTTCAAGCATAATTTGAAAGGCTCACCCAATGTTGAATTATTAGTTAGCAAGGCGACGAATCTCACTGAACGATTACACGAGTATAACTATGTTATTAATAAAACTTTTTGTTTAAATATATAACTGCAAAACGTTTTAAAGTACATTGACATATTTTATCTATTTTGTCAAGATATCAAGAAAGCTGGATGGTTTAACCAGGCTTTCCAGCTTCAAAAACTGCTTAAGTTTGTAACATTGTTTCACCCTAACATTTCCCTACAGAATTCCCATCAATATAAGAATCAAATATAGATGTCAACATTTATCCAAAAATCTAAAGAATTCCCACCAATTTCTAAAGGCCTTGAAGCAAATTCTGCTAGTTTAGGAATTAGGAACATAGGCCATTTGAAACTATTTAAACAGTAAAGTGCCTCATCGTTTCATTCCTCCCCATTTGTGGAGGAATGCTTCATTACACAGCATCTGGTAATGGCTAATTGCATTACATCAAAACATGAACCATTAATGATTTCTATCTCCATTCCGCACCCCCTTATCACACCCAACCAATGCCACCCCATTCTTCTGCCCTATGTCTAACATTATCTCATATATACGTCTAACATCCACAATGTCATAGTCCACGCCACGACACAATTTGTTTGAAAACATATAAACATTATCTCACAATCACTCCACATCATTGCAGCCTCATTTTAATTTTTTATTTTACTCATGTTTTACATTTGTTTAAATTCTCATGGCCACTGTTTTGATGCTATAAACTAGTGGGTTAAACTTCATAACGGAGAAACTGCCTTTTCCCTTGTGCTAGGTAAGGATGCTTAAAATAAACACTCTAAATACATCCTTAGAATCCAAAAATGAAATTTTGCATAAGACTAAGCATCCAGATACCTCTTTTGATCCTCGGAGCATTTTCCACCATGGTATAGATTGTTCTTTTAACTTCTTAATCACAAGCCTGCACTCACATATTGAGAAGCTAGAATCTTAAAAAATCTTGTAGACATTTTAGTGAAGAAATTTAGGATGCCAAGTATTAGCAACACCCTAATTCCCTCCTTGTGAGACTTAGGAAATGATAAACTGCAGGTGACGGATTGAAAAGGTAAGAATGAAGGATAACAAATTCACAATTTATAACTAATATTGACAAAATTGGTTTTAGTTCCTTGAACACATAAACCTGCCAAATACCATATTTTGTCACAATTTATAACTAATATTGACGCATTGGTGCTTGCTTAACAATAATCTTTTTAGTTCACTAAATCGATTGAGGTTAAATAAGCTCATTGTATTAGCTATTCTGGTAGTAATATATCATGTTTTCAAAAGAGCATAACCAATTTGGTGCTCTCCACCAAACTTGAGTTATCATAAGAAAAATTAGCCGGCACAACAGCACCTATTGTGCAGTATGCATAAACGTACCAAGTGTGCTTGTTGTGGGCTTGAGCTGGACAGTAAAGACATAAAGACAAATATATTGCAGATGTTAAGCAACTCACATCAGTTCAAATGGTAGCAATCTGTGAAATCACCCCAACCAAAAAACCAAAGCTCCCTGGAAAAGGAAGGATCCTCAATAGTTCCAACAATGAGCTACATAAAGAAAAAAAAAGTAACATATCAAGAAAATCATAAAAAACATGCATTTAAAAAATTAAAAGAAACTAATAGAAGATAGAAAGAAGTGACATAAAACTACTCAATAAGGGTCTTTTGAGTATAATTATAACTATGTGTAGATGCCTCCTTTTCCTACATTATAGTTTTAGCTTCAGAAGAGAGAAAAATTGGTTTTGGTTTCTAATTTTCTATCAGCCAACTCCCTATTACTGCATAACAGATTTTCTCTATTAGATGTGGCATATTTCAAGTTGATCCAGCATTTGAGCATTACCTTGTGACTGGTCAATGATTGGATGAATTCTCATGAAAAGTGGCCGTCTAGACAATCTCCGAAAGCATTATTCTTGATCAACCTGCACAAGATTGACAATTAGGTATTAATGCTTTTCAACCACATAAGGCAGCAATGTGAAAGGAATATGCAGGAAATTATTGCTTACTGCAGTAAGAGAACCGAGTCAAACACCAAGTAATACGGCTCTGCTTGGTTTCCTTTAGCAGCGTCTCCAGACTTGAAAACAGCTGTCCAGCAAAATCTCTTCTTTCATAAGGTCATACGTTTCGTCACCACTTTGTGGAAAAGCCTTAGGTATGAATATGTTAGATACCTGTGACTCGATTGCTGAAACAGTATCTCCCAAATTTCTGAAAATTCCTCCGAAGATTGCTCCAATTTTTCAGTAAATAAGTCACTACACAAATTTATTTTATTTTAGCTTTTAGTGTAAGCTGAAAGAACTTTTTAAGCACTTCCTTGGATTCACTGTCCAATTTTCTTGTGGCCAACAAGTTCACCAGGCTTGTTGATGTGCATGCGTCAGCAGGAAAACCAGCATCCAGCATTCTTCGAAGAAATTGAACCGCCATGGTCGTCTCATTCCATCGAAGAAATCCCTGGATAATTATATTAAAAGTAAAACCATCTGGCATGCAACCACAAATCATCATTTCTTGGAGCAAGTGATTTGCTTCCTTGAGTTTACCATTCTTAAATAATCCATTCATTAGGATATTATACGTACGAATATTAGGCCGCAAGCCTCTAGAAGGGAGATCCCTGAAAAGTTCTTGACCAACATCAATTTTCCCAACTTTGCACATGCCATCAATGAGGATGTTCCATAGAACAATATTAGGGGCCACTCCAACACCTTCCATAGTTCTTAATAGTGCAAGGGCATCATCAAATTTTTCATTTTTAAATAACGAATCTATCAAAGTAGAGTAGGTAACAATGTTAGGAACAAGATCACGATTTCGAATGTCATCAAGGAGCAGAAGCGCATCCTTGAGTCTGCCAGCATCACACAACCCGCTGATGAGAGTGTTGTAGGTCACAATAGTTGGTGTAACTCTGTTTCCAGACATTTCCTTAATAAGACTCGTGGCTTCACCTATCATCATGCTCTTGCAATACCCATTAATCAGGATATTATATGTATAAAAACCAGGCTGCAAACCCGAGGCAGGGAGTTTCCGAAAAAGTTCCTCGCCAACATCAACTTTCCCAGCTTTGCACATACCATCAATGAGGATATTGTACAGATAAATATTAGGGGCCACTCTAACCTCTTCCATAGTCCTTAACAATGTGATTGCCTTATCAAATTTGCCAATTTTAAATAAAAAATGTATCAAAGTAGAGTAAGTAACAACATCTGGAACCAGACCACAATCCTGAATTTCATCAAAACGCAGAAGTGCATCCTCAAGTCTACCAACTAGACACAAACCGTGTATAAGAGTGGTGTAGGTTACTATATTAGGAGCTATTCTCTTTCCAGACATCTCTATAAACAGACTCAAGGCTTCATCTATTCTTTTGCTCTTGCAGTACCCATTAATTAATATGTTATAGCTGATAACATCAGGCACACACTGATGTGAATTCATAACATCAAGCATAGTATGTGCTTCCCCAACCTTCCCACCTTTACAAAGTGAATGAACTAAAATATTAAATGTGACCACATTCGGTGAGATGCCTCGAGCTAGCATTTCGTTCAACAAACCCTGTGCCTCTTCCCACAATCCTAAACTGCATAAACCTTGAATCAAACAAGTGAATGTTACAACATCTGGTAGAATACCTTTCACGATCATCTCACAATAGATATCCACAGCCTCATTAACACGTCGATCCTTGCAAAGACCATTGATGATGATATTGTAATGGATTATGCCTGGCTTACAGCTCTCACTTTTTTCCATCTCTCTGAGCATAAGAAGAGCAGCTCGGGTGTCACCGGATTTGCAGAGCCTGTTTATCATCCCGAGAGTTACTACATGAGCTTGAAACCCTAAAATTGCTTGAGAAATGTTACCATTAGCATAAATTCGATTAGATTGATGAATTGGGGCAATAGACGTACTCTCAACCATCCGAGTAAACGGAAGCAACGAATCTCTCACACAGCTGTTGTTAAGAATTAATTTTCGAGAGGGAAAATGAATTTGAGGATTTAGAGAAGCAGCAACAATAGTATGATATTGAAACAAGAGAAATGGGAAAGAAAGGTAATCAGGAAGCAACTTACCATTTCGACGAAGAACAAAAGCAGGCTTCCTCATTTCATTGCTCTTTTCTCTAAACCCTAATTCATAAAACTAAAACCTCCATTAAACCCTCAAATTGCCTAATCCATCATGAACTATAGGATGAATTAATATAAACCTAATTTCAACTCTTTGGACTAAGCATTGGCCACCTAGATGCCATTCTTGAATTTATACCTTTTGTTCAAAACTAACAACTTCAGACAGGTTCAGTTCAGGGATGCATAACTCCTAAGTAACGGATGAAGAATACGACAGCGTTTCATTCAATTAGATTACACTCGAATCCTACGTGTATACAGGAAAAACAGCACCTCAATATACTCTGAGGAGCTCCTTATACCGTAATTTTATTAATAATTAATAAATATAAAAAACATCCATTAATAAAACTTTAAAATAATATATAAATAATAAAGTAAAAAACATGGTTGAAACAACAATGTTAAACTTGATTCCTTAACTAATTAATAGGGAAAAAAACTCTCTTACATTAACTTAAGGGTAAATTGTATGAAAAAATATCGTACTTTAATTTGATTCTTATTTAAAGTAACATACTTTTAAAACTTCAATTTTAGTACATAAGATGTCAAATTTTAAACATTTAAGTACCCGGGTAACCCGTTGAAGCGTTAACCGGTTACCATGCTGATGTCATGTGGCGAGTGATATAGTAGCCAACTCAGTATTACTTGTTGAAGCATTAACTGGATACCACACCACTCGCCTCATCAGCATAGTAACCGGTTAATGTTTCAACCGGTTACCCGGGTACTTAAATGTTTAAAATTTTACATCTTATGTATTAAAATGAAAGTTCTGAAAATACGTTACTCTAAATAGAATCAAGTTAAAGTACGTTATTTTTTCATATAATTTACCCTTAAGTTAAATTTAAAGAACATGATTAAAGATGCTCTTAAACAAATTAAATAAAATAGTACTAGAAAATAATATTTGAATGTCAATTTTTACTATAAACTATAGTAATTAAATTGTTTGAATGTCTCATAAATTTTGATTAAGAATACAATCATTAAAAAAACCATTTTTGTTAAAAGAAGGTATCTTTGGGAAATTGATGTAAAAAAATTAGGTATGAATGTCTCAATCCTCATTTAAGGACCGTTTATCAAACGCTTATTCGGATAAGCACTTACGAAGTCATATTACCTTACCGGATGAATATGGTAAGAACCAAGAGTCTTACCAGGTAAGAGGGAGACAAGGACCGAGAGTCTTACCCGGTAAGTGAGGGAGAAGACTATTTCCTTGATAAGTGCTTACTGGGTAAATTGTTGCAATACGATGCCGTTTTGGTCGACTAAAGTCTTACCCGGTAAATAAGTGATAGTGTTAAATTTTACCCGTAAGCGCTTACCGAATAAGTGTAGTAAACGGTCACTTAGTATAAGTGATGCAATTTATGTTTTATAACATTATATAACACCATGATCCTTCTTAATGTTATATCGTTGTATAAAAGCTGATATAAAAACTTATGTAAAACGCCTCTTTCATATAAATAATAAAACATATTTTATTATTAAAAAAACAGTAATATTTGCGTTTGTAAATTAAACCAAACAATTCTAATATATCTCATTTCAAAGTATTTATGCATGTTTGTATATGATATAGATATGTAAAGCATAATGAGGCTATAGATTTGGTGTCTATATATACAAAAGTCATTTGGTCCCTAGTCCCCTTTCCATTTCACTTGTAATTCTTCACCTCAAAAAACCCCTTCTTCAGTGCATCATCTCGACATGCGAATTAGAATGCGATCTTCAAGCATTTTATGACGAACCCTCAAAGCGATATTTGTTTGACCACAGACGATAACTTCAGAGAAATGGCTTCCATGGCTGCTTCTACCTTTTCTTGATCCTGCAAGCCAGTCCAGCAAACGATTTGAGAGAATTCTAGTGAATTTCGAAGTTTTCAGATACCAAACGACCCGTCATTACCTTTCCTTCAAAGGTGATAGCGAGAGGCCCAGTTCTGGATTTACGATAACACCCTTGTTTTTTCAAAATAACATCAAGAAACAGAAATTAGAGAGACTAAAGATGAAGGTCAATCGTCGTCATTTGATTGAAATGTATTCATACCAATGTAGATATCTGGAAATTCGACAGAAATCTTGGATAGAGGTTGAGCAACTTCTATCTGCAGTGTAATTGAAACAAAAAAAAGTTCAGCGATGGGATAATAGTACAAAAAGGGAGGGAATGGTTTGACTTTTTAGGTCAAAGAAATGCTATTCCACATTCCAAACCCATGTAGAATTTATTCCAATTTATAACCAATATCTTCCTATTTGGTACAAATTTAACCTAGTTTTAAAGAAAAAATCCTACAGTCATTCGAAACTTCAGAAAAGGGACTCTATCCGGTCTCATGGACATTGCAACATTCGACTAGACAGTTTTAAAGAAAGTGTCAACTGTAATCAGATGCCCCAAACACCCTTCATGGACCCAAATCAATTTCATTTTTTTCTTTGTAAAAATTACATCATGCAAATGGGTAATTCAGTTTGAAAAGTTGGCAAGAAAGGAGATGAATGCATTTTTAATGTGATATCCTAAAATGGAAATCATTGCAATTTTCGTAGTTAGAGCAATGCTACTAGAATAAACTGTACATCATGCATTAAAACTTGTACATTCCTCTGGATTTGGGAAGTCCGTCTCCAGAGAAGGGATGTGCTTAAAAACAGATCAAAAGAGAGAGATAATTGAATGAAACAAAAGATGCACAGATACATACATCGGTGAGGGAGGTTGTCAAATGCTTTGATACAAATGGTCCCAATGATGTTAGCAGGCTAGTAGACCTTGAATCGATCAAAGCATCCCACTGTACGTCTAACTCATCAACATTTGTTGCACTAAGAACGATCACATTATGACACATGATCTACAAAGACAAGCACCAGATTGACAATTATAAACTATTCATTACCAAAACAAAAAAAAATACATAAAATTGTACATGTGCTTGTAAGACAAATTTCCATCAATCAATTTTTATTTTATTTTGTACTGTAGATAACGCGCCCCATGGAGCAATCCTAAGGTTACTCCCTGTAGGCATTAGAAACAAGAAGAAATTCTTTTGGTCATTCAGTTTACCGGTAGCAAAAAAGAACAGAAAGAATGTTAATGGCATAGAAAAAACATAAAAGAGAAATAATACATGCATTCATAACTCAGTTAAAGATTGTCTAACCAGATAAATTTAGCAGAATGACATATTTTATGAAGGACGATAAAATTTTGTTACCTATATCCCTCTGTAATCAAACACGTACCAATGGAACAGGAAGCTTTTCATGTTGCAGCAGTTCTGTAATCCCTTCAGGCAGCCGAGCCATCTTGAGAAAGATAAATATGCAAATTTAGATTATGAAAAAAAGTCCCCTTTTTTACATAAATTTCCAAGTAATCAGGAGTATTTTGGTCAATATGAAGTTCCCATGCCATTCGAATTCCCATTCGCAAACCCTTCGGAGTAATCTTGTTTGTTTGATTAGTTTGTTGTATATTGGATAGCATCCAGGGGTATGCCCCAGCCCCCAAGATCATGTTTACTCCTTTTATAATGCAATCTACTCCTCCTCCTCCCCCCCCCCCCTTGTAAATTGCAACATTTGACCATAAAGTGTTTTGACTATTAGTAATATGAAATACCAAGAAAAGTAGGACAACAGACTGGACCCAAATCGACATCAACAATTTTTGCAGTTTTCATGGTGTTAACTAAAATTAGTTAATTAAGGTTTATCTTTCTAGTAACGTTTACAGCCTACACTAATGATGTAATATTCACTCCATCCCTCAAGAATGCAACATTCGATCGTTACATGTACATAATAAGCGTAGCTGGCAGCTACTTCTTTTCATAATTGCTGGTGATGAGTGGCCAATTTCATTTCAATGAATTTTTCCATCTTAGTAACATTACTAGGTTTGGCATTCAGTTACCTCGTTATGGTCCCCAGTGTACTTGTCACCAAACAGTTGGCTAAGATATTCTTTGTATTCTTCATCTGGAACCTGTATTCATAATCTAAAATTAAAACCCTAGAAAACACATTGCTATGAGCATATACCAATATACGTTTAAGGATGCAAAGTACTAGTAAAACTGTAATTCCCTCGTGATTGTGATATTTACAGAAAGATCAACTGTGACAAGTAAAACATCTAACACTGAAAATACAATGAAGAATAATAACGTCCTAAAATAAGTGTCCACAATGAAAAAGGCACACAGCTTTAAAAATGTGTAATCATTACACTTTTTAATTAACTAATGACAATTTCACCCATATTAATAGATGGAATAACGAATTTCTCCATCTCATAACTAACGGTAGAATTGGAAAGTAGGAACTTGCTTTTAAAAGGGGTTACTTATTTTGGGACAAAATGAGTATATACAAAATGGAAAGATTTGACTCACCAAACGAACGCCAAATGCTTTGGCAACTCCTCCAACGGTTACATCTGAATGTAATGGGCCAACACCTCCATATATGAACACCTGTATTGACATTGCCAAGTGAGTAACATCATAAAGGGCCACCACAGAGCACCAAGGCTCCACGGCCATGTGATGGTTAGGGACAAAAGTCATTGTAAGCAGTCTTCCCTTGCATTCTGCAAAGAGACTGTTTTCCTGATTCAAACCCCTGATCATCCAGGCACAACCAACAGAAGCTTGCCCGGAAGTCTGCAAATTAAGATAGCAGACAATAGAGATGTGTCAGGAAATCACACTTTTACAAATGACATACCATGTCACTCATAGACTTCCGCCTTTCAACTTCTTCGGCCACGGAATCCACCTGCACAGAATAACCAAACGATGTCGATAAGTGCAGAGAAAATAGGACTTTTTACCTTGTGTATTCCTAAATGAGCACTATGTGCATTGATCAATTGTCTCTTAATCGGAAAAAAATGATTTATTCACCAAAAACATATAGATAATATATGTTTAACGCTTTCACTGTTTTGGTAGTAAAACCTTTTGTTTCCAAAAGAGTAATCTAACTTATCCAGTCTATTTTCATGTATCAAAACGACTTACATCATTTTGTACAATAGCAATTTGGGAGACCAGCCAACCTATTGAATGAAGCTTTCTACACAAAGAAGGTCCCAATTGATCCTCAATAATTCCAAAGCTGAGCTATGCAACAAATAATAGAACATCTGTAAACGCATAGCAAAATAGTAAAATGAACCCAAAAAATGAAGAAAAAACAAACAGAACCATTGTAACAAATGAGAAATACTGAAGAAATGTCAGACACTAAGCAGGAACCAAACATATTTCTCTTCTGAAACATAGAAGACTTCACTTTGTTAAATTTTATTGAATCATACTTAAAGTTGTCCAAAACAATTGTCTTTGAGTTCTTTAAACTAGAACAACGAGCTTACAGAATGTCATCACCCACGGCTACAATGGAGGCTGTAAGGACGCTGCTCTGATTTGGTTCCACACATTTCAGGCCATTGCTGACGGCAGGTACTCGGCCAGCAATCAAAGATGACTTTCTTGCTCTACCTGCTCTTTCCAATCTTCCATCAGAAAGCATATATGCAGGCCTGAACTTTTGTTTACCAACTGCAGAATCTTTGATGCATAGCAACGCATTTGGAACTGTGTCATGGATGCTTCCAATTGACGTGTAACTGTAAACACAGAAGAACTTGTATTGTTAGGTACTCCTCCGTCTAAAAACATGCAACGGTTAACTTGGCATGTAATTCAACAAATATCTAAAATGCTCTTCACAAGACAAATTGAAATAAAACCTAATGGGCAAACAGGAACATTTTGGATTTGGATCTTACTGAAAAGCAAAGGTTTCATTTCTTGGGGGTTGAGACAACCCAAATGAAGAAGTGTTCCATTTTTTTCTTTTTTTAAGGTAGGGGGAAACAAAAAAACCTCAGAAAAGCATATGATTCATCCTACATGTACTGATGTACCAATCCCGAGATTATCTCTAGAGAATCTGAAACATAAAGTAATAAAGTGAAACATATGACAGACTATGTGGGCAATGAATTACCCTTGATCATAGAGACCACAGTACTGAACCTTGCAAGTCAAAAGAAAGGCCCACACATCCCTGTCAAAGAAGTTTACGGAAGTCAGAGCTTCTTGGAAATAGAACACTACTGATCCTGTAAGAATAACCACTGAAGTAAATGCATAATCTATTCAAAGAATAAAGGCAAATTAACGAGTAGCATGATGAACATTTTTGCTTAAACACGAGCATTATAACACTTTGACAGCTAAATGCAGTCACAGTACAACCTTTAAATCTAAAAACATATAAAAAGAACATCTTGAATATGAAAAGATACTACTCGACTCCATCATCAAGTGTGCAAGATCCCAGACACTATCCATTAAGCTATATGCACTACAACCTCCATTAGTTTTTCTAAGTGGAAAATAAGAAATACTTCTAGTTCTATACCATATATGGGCTGATAGAATATGAAGTTTAGAATTCAACTGCACCAAGCGCAGCTAAGCCTTTATTCTAAACTAGTCGATAGAAGAATCCCGACTAAGCCAAGGTTCAAGCTTTTAGCTAGCTTAGCCTGAGCCTGAGTTTTTCTAGCTTGACAAACCACGAGCTAAGCCCAACCCTACCAACTTTTTGACGAGTCAAGCAAGATCAGGGAGACTTGATCCAAATTCACTCCTGTTAACTACTCTCACAATTAGATTTTGCCAAGTTGATTTCTCCTCGTGAAAACAGAAACATTTACATACCTGTATGACCAGTCCAAGATTGGATTCACTCTCATGAAAGGTGGCCAGCCAGACGAGCTTGGAGAGAATTGTTCTTGACCAACCTGCACAAAATTGACAACTATTACCACTATTTTGTTAATAAATCGGGACAAAATGGATGATAGATGACAATCAGAATCTTGATGCTATATAATCCTTAGAAAATTTGACATGCAAATGTGAAACATTCATGAAAAAAATTGCTTACAGCAGTGGGATCACCAATTCGAACACCAAGGAAAATAGCTCTAATTGGTTTCGCCTTTAAAAGAGCCTCCAAACCAGACTTGAAATCTTGACGAAGGATATCTAGCTGCACACCATAACTGAGACATCAAGGAAAAAGTGATGTTAATAACCAAATGCTAGGAGCTCACACACGTTGAGGGGAAGTCATTACTATTATGTAATCTATCCTTCTTTACCAAACTAAATGCAACTTCCTTTTTGGGATATTCCGTAATAAATGCAACCTTTCCACATTTGGTGAAATTTCGATCAACTCTACCTCTTTCCCCACCATTAATCGTTACAAGCTATGAACCACCAACACTTGAGTTACAAGTGTTGTATTTGCATCAGGTGCGGCCTTCATATGAGTTTAAATACTTTGACGATGTTTATTTCTTAAGTTATTTGTCTATTTTATTTCGAATTTTATTGAATGCCAAACCCACACACTCAATTGCAGATCTGTTTCCTGCTTCCAATATTACCAGATATTGAACATTGATTTTGGTCCACAGAGTTCTTTATTTTATCGTTATTGATGAATATTTTAGAAATTTGCCTGAAAGTCAAAGTTTGGATTTATTTAGGGGCAGGTTAGCAGTATTATACTAAAAGATAAATTAGGCAAAAGAAGCATATGCAAAGCAATATAAGATAGAAGTTATATCCCACCTATCAGCTGTTTCGTAAGTGAATGAACTGATTTCAGGGAAGGCAGAAGGGCTTTCGAAATATATCGTCCTTATGGGAAACGTAAATTCACGATCTGATAGATCACCATTTGAATGCCCATATTCCACTTGATGCAAAAAGTGTCCTGCCCTAAGCAGGTGTAACAAAACCTACAAGAAGAACTAACAATTAGAATTTATTGAGAGGATAAGATACCTTTTTACGATCTAACACGAGCACAACTACTTACAGTTGAATCCTTTCCTCCATTGAAGCTGAATGCGACCTCTTCGATCCTGATAAGAAAAAATATTGAGGGATGCCAAGTTAAAAGACCAAGAAACTGAAGAAATGTCGCTATGAAGATCACCATAACAGTGAAACAATAAGAAATAGTACTTGGTGTCAACAGAAAATCGCCCAAGGGTTTGGCCTAGCAGCAAGTCCACAGGACTAGATTCCCCATGAAGCATCAGATCTTATTAACTCCCACTACGTGTTATCAGTTCCTTAAGGCCACACTTGTGAGCTGGAAGGCCTAAAATTTATTCAAGCCATGTGGAGTGGTGTTTTGCACGGACCCTATGGACTAGCTAGGCCAAAGATGCCAAAAGAATACACACCTATATATCAACCTCCATAAAGGAGGCGGGGATTTAAACAAAGAGATCGAGAATTAGTAACCACACTGGTATATCTTTTAAGATAGAAAACCCTCAAATCTAAGTGGCCGTTTACCCATATGCTTACGCGGTAGTAAGAGTCAACAATCTAACTTACTTTACCGGGTAAGATTGTAGTCCTTCGAAACGGTAACCTATGCAACAATTTACCCGGTAAACGCTTACCGGGTAAGAGCCATCACCCTCACTTGCCAGATAAGACTCTCAATCCTTGTCATAGCTCTTACTGGGTAAGATTCTCAACCCTTTTCATGTCCATTTGGTAAGAAAAATGACCTAGTAAGCGCTTACCGGGTAAGCGTTTAGTGAACGGCCCCTAAGTCTTCTATAATGTTGATACACTTCTTCCAAAAGGAAAACCTATTGTTGATACAAGTGTAATAAATTTAATGCACATTTATGTTGATATAGATATAATGAACTCCATTATGAATAGTAAAACATCAATTAGTATCATTTACCGTTTTGAACAAAATCATCCATATGCAACTAGAGATAAACGTAAAACACAAATTAAAACAAAGACAGTTAAATCGATAAAATACTACATGAAAGAACAACACATTATGTTTAAGTTCCCAAATCAAATGCCAAAGCATCTTTAGTCAAATGAAACCTGACAACTCAATGGTAACGGCATATGAAATTCAATAAAACCATAGGGATAAAGTGTAATTGTTCCATATAACTTTCAAAGGCACATTCCAAGTAACTAAATCACTTAGAATATCTATCAATTGTTGAACATATGATTAGAACTTCAACATTGATGATCTTCATGAGGCCAATAAACAATGATAAGTAGGACTGGGTGAAACTTTATTTGGATTTAGCAACTATATATCAACCACTCTGCAAAGGCGATAAGGATGTGAACAAAAAAACAAGCACTTGAACAATATGAAACAAGAATCTGAAAGAAGTGAAACAATAGTAACCACGACCATAGATTTTTTAAATAAAAATTCCTCAACTTCTAAGATCCTCAGACTGTAGCATAATGTTGATATAAACAAAACCAAACCAAACCAGACATACCCGGTATATCGCACTCGGAGTAGGGTCTAGGAAGAATATGATGTGCGTTGATTAGCGTAATGTTGATATAAATGTAATAATTCTAATGGAGAATTGCACATTCACATGCTTAGGAGATATGCTTTGTTGTAATTAGCAAAATGCAAACATACAAAGTCCAGTGAAAGATATTTAATAATTAATATGTGCATTTTACTGGTTACACACAAGTTCGTCTACGAAGGGATTTAATCCCTTTCAGTCATATCAAACCTAATAACTCAATGGCAACAACATATGAAATTCTATAATACCGAAATGATATAGGTTCCAAGAAACTTATTATGGCACATTGTAACTTGCAAATAACTAACTCATGACCCCAAGGGTTTGACTTAGCGGCATTCCTTAGTCACTTGGTGCCTAATTTAACACCACGGCTTAAATTCGAATCCATCTATGTGCCATCAATCTCTCAGGGTCATACCATTGGCCAGACCGCCGAAAGTTCGGTCAGGGCTATGTAGTGGGGGGCTTTGTATGGATCTGTGGACTAATTGGGCCAAAGGTGCCGAATACCGTATGATTCAGAGCTTTATATGAACTTATGAACTGATTATGCCTAGAATGCCGGATACCACGGTTACCCAAAAAAACTAACTAAATGTCTAAATCACCACTTCTGTTCATTGGCAAGCCTTTATCTATATCCATGAGCAATGTTGAACAAAAGAGTGTAAAAGGTTAAGAATTATATGCTTCATGAAATCTTAAATCCTGAAAACTCCATCTCTGAACTGAAATATGAATTTGGAAAACAAAGAACTGAAACTTACGAGTAAAGGGCAAGGGCTCTTTGAATGACATAAATGGCGTTATTGTACTTAGCCTTCAGTCTGCGATCATCGCTTTCTCTAATAGCTTTATCGATCTCCATATATGCGTATGCGACCTTTTGTGTAGGGAAAAATTGAAGCCCCAATTCAAAAACAGATCACATTAAGTGGGTTCTTCATGGAAAATCAAAGCAAAGTAGGGATTGCTTGATGAATTTTTGTTGGGAACCTGAAAATTGGAAAAAAAGATGATGATATTTTGGCAAGTTGAAGTGATCAAGTGCAAAGGGTTTTTATGGATGGAGATTCCTCTGGGTGTTTTATGAAAGGAGATGGAATGCATATTGGTTTGGTCAACGATAACTTTTTAAAAGGCATGATCTTACACCATCTCTAAACTCATGATTTCATCAAAATCAAAATCTGTATTAAATTTTAATATTTTTTTTTTATTTTAAAGACTTTTAAGATCATGATATTATTAAAATATTTTATAATATTAATATTTATTTTATAACTTATATAAAAACTAATAAACAAAAATAAAATTTTCTTTATTTTAAAAAATCTATTGAAAATGGTCTTATAAATTAATTTTCAGTCCTAAGTAAGAATTTAATCCATGTGGTTTCATCATTTTTATGAATAACTAGGGATGGTAAAAGAAAATTGTACTCGATGAAGAACCCGATATCCGAATCTAGATACGGTTTGATAGGGGAATTCTCGAGTTCATTAACTCGGATTTGTTAATCGAGGATGGGATACCTCTCAAACTCGACCCTGGTCTCGAGTATTTAATAATAAATTTTTTGTATATATTATATACTATAGCGGCTTTGATTGTGAAATATCAAATAATTCCTTGCATAACATGCAGAAGATGGAGGGTAATTTTATAACTTTTACAGATAGACGACAAACAAAATATGAACTATATGTTTATATGTGAATCCATTAATTAATTTATATGTGAACTATTTAACTGATTCACATACGAAGGGATTCATATGTGAACCAGTTAACTAATTCATATGTGGATCACAATGGTTTATATGCGAATCAATTAATTAGTTCATATGTAAATCACACGGGTTCACATATGAACCTGTTTGCCGTCTATTTGTAAAAGTTATGAAACTATCTTTCTATTTTTGGCATAGCCACAAATTTTGGCCAGTCAAATCCGATCTTGACCGTATGAAGTGATATGATCACATCTTTATTTCTCAAATATTTACCACTTCTCAAAATAACGTATGGATGTACTATATATAATATAATAAAGTCGATAAACCTAAAGAGTATATATAACACATAAATATAATGGATCTTGGATGAGAAATTTGCAATATATATTATAGTATTTGTTTGATTGTTCGGGAAAAAAAAACTTTTAATGATATAACAATATGGGATATATAAATATTGATTATTAAGTATTATAATTGATCTATTTATTTTTGAACTATTTTTGTACAAATGCAAACATTAAAGTTTGTTTAATTAGAGTTTTAGAATAATATGTCGTTTAAACGTAAAATTGATTTTTATAAAGATATTATATGAAAAAAAAAATTATAAATGAGAAAAAACCACTGATTTCCCGATGGAGAACCCCGCTCCCTGATGGGGATCCCCAGTTGGGAAAAGAATCTTGTTCCCCGACAAGGATGGGGATTGTGTTCTCTGCTATATCCGACCCCGTTGAAACCCCAATTCAAAATCAAATAAAAAATTATAACCGATATAACTATGAAAAATTGTATGTCACCCATTGAGATCATACGTTCTACTTATATAGATTTAACGGAAACCAGCTATATCCAATCTTGGTTGATCGAAAATTAAATAAAAAAATCATAAATATAACACTACTACTTTTTATTTAAATATTATTTGAGATTACAATATCCTTTTTTTATTTTGTTTTTGACATATTATAGAAAGCAAAAGACACCCAAATCGATAACCTTTTTTGACATTAACATATTATGCAATAATATATCAAACAATACATGAAATTTAATCTTTTTTACCATTACGTAAGCTTTTTGTTAAATTAAATATTAATATCTCTTAAAACTCTGCAAACAAATCAAAATAACTAACGCATAGAAGCTATCACTAATACAATTTGGAGGAGTCAACCGTTATTTTACCACAAAGTTAATCAACTCAATAGTACCATATCACTGTTCTGTTGTATTTGAAAATTTCTCTTATATTGCAACATTATATAAATCGAAGATTTCTAGCTATCGTTTCAATCGTTATGTTATATCGTCTTATCAAAATGTATGTGTCCTGCAATCTAGTTGTAAAAGCCTTCTTCAATCCAAATGTCGACTAAAAGATCCACAACGTCCTACAAGAACCGATCATCATTTAGCTAACATGTGAGCTTGTCGGAAGGGTGGCCATATACATATATATATAGAGAGAACACGAAGAACTTACAGCTAATGGAATTGGCTCGGGGAATGGTTCACCAGATGAGAGCAAATCTTCAAAACTTGTGGTCCAACTATAATAACAATCGAATTAGACAACTTTTTATGCAAATTTCTTGTTTTCATTCGCGGTCCCGTCTTTCTTTTGCATCGTTTTGAGAAGTGGGACCCACGAAGGAAAGTGAGATATTCAAAGTTGAAAGTCAAAAGAAAGGTCAAACCTCATAATTGGCTGTCTAAACTTGCTATGTGATGTTTGAGATCTATCACCAGCCCAAGCTCTTCTCATCTCATGCCAAGCTAACTCCGCTGCATAAGAAATGGATTCTGTCATGGATAATCACAGTATCCATGGAACTAAAATGTCTTTCGAGGAACGAAACGGTAAAATACAACTACTGTGAACTCCCAAACAAATCCAGTGGGATCCAGGGAGGGTAAGATGTATGCGGTCTTTCTCCACCCCAAGGAGATTGGTTGTTTCCATGAATACCACAACTAAAGCGCATGAGTATTCAATCAAAATATTTAAAAGCAGATGGGCATAATTCGGTTCATTTGGAATATAACTATGATTATAAGAAATTTTCATTACAAAAATAAAATTGAAGACAAAATGATGAGGCAAGAGGAAACAGAAAAAGCACATTATGGGTTTTTATGTCAAACCTATGAATATAAGATGCAAATTTCATATGGATTATGAACACAAACAATATATTTAATAGTCAATCAAGATTTGATATCAAGGGGAGGAGGACAGAAGACCATCTCTCTGGCTTCACTGATCGAGCAACACGGTTATTTCAAGGACCTTTCTGTTCCAGGTTAAAGTGTAGGCCTTTTGGAGCGAGCTGCATGGATTTGTGGGAGTCCGGGCTATAACAATGTCATTTTTTATGATCATTTTGAAATTGAAAAATAAACCGTCTCACACGATGTCAAACCAAGGAGCAAATAATAGATAGCAAAGAAAATGGCTATCATATAAAATAAATGAACAGGAGACCAAAAGATCCTTTAGCAACCGAAAACATAATCCCTCAACTATTTCCATATTTATGTGTAATGAAGAGAGGTATGATACACGTATTAGCACACAACATGCACGTATGACACTACCATAATGTGTTTCATGAGCATGGTTATTTGGAAGAGAATGGACTTCTAATCAGTAACAGAGAAAAAAGGATCCTTGCTTTGACATCTGCCGTCTAGGCTGTGGTCCAAAATTTCAAGTGTTACAAAATTGAAATAGGCAAAATGAGGGGTCTCAGAACAAACTTAAGGAAGCAAATGATCGAGGAAAAAGAAAGCTTAGTATGTTTATCAAACATGCACTTGATAAAGGTGAATGTGGCATTTCTCATAGAAACTAAACCAAAGAGCCCAGTATATCCCACCCGAAGGTGGAGTCTAGGGGTTGGGATGTACGCGAATATGTTCTCTACCCCAAATAGTAGAGCGGTCGTTTCCGTAAAAGAACCCCCCCCCCCCCCGGGGCTTGTTGAAAGGTTATATTTATAGGTTCCTCTGTGAAAAAAGTGAGATGTGAGATGGTGACAACACTACGGTTATTGAGTTTGTACTCCCTCAGGCTTGAGAAAAATGCAGCACTTTTCTTTTTGATTGTCCAAAGAAATGCAACATTTTCTTTCTTGGTAAGTTTTCAATCCAAATTTGTTTTTTGTCTTTCACAACTATTACATGGTATTAGTAACTGTAATTTGGTCCACAAGTGCTCTTCAGTATGTCCTTTTAGCTATTTGATCAATAACCAAGCATTCCTATGTAACCACATGTCAAGTCAAACATTGCATGTTTTTGGGTATGAAGGGAGCATAATATTTTTTTTGCACACTCTACTATAAAATTATTGATTTGATCATTGCACATCATGTTCCGATCACCTTTTGACCAAAAACTGACATTCCCCAACACATTTGTCTCTAATGAGCATCAACAAACATCATCCTAGAAAGAGCGCAGTGGTTAAGTCACTATCATTTTTGGCAGGAAGCTAGTGCATGTGAGCAAATGGCGGTCAGAAAATGAAACACAATGGCCAAATAATATTTCATAGTAAAGGAAGCATAACTTATTTTACATGATACTCATGTAGGCTCGGTTTATTCAACGTGGCTTGGTGAACATAAGATGAAATGGAGTAGTTGGGAGGACAAACCGTGGTTAACAAAGAGAGGATTTGAAACACCCCTTTTAATGGACTTCTTTTCCTTGTTGACCATTTTAGAACTCCTTGAATTCTGGTTACCACTAGGGAGAGAATTGCTTTCATCAATGTCCATCTTTTATTGCTAGAGACTCCTTAATTACCCAAAGGGGCACAGCAATTACCTGTATTAATGCATAGAAAGAGAAGACAGTAAGAATTTTATTAAATGCTATATGACAACTATAATCACAAGTAACAATGTGGCTTCAATGGTCTTATCATACGAGTTGTTCATGACATGAACTATTGCAGCTCAACTCCCCTTAGCATTTTATATTCATAGGTTTTGCATACAAACCGTCTAGGCCAAATCATCGTATATTATTAGCATTAAGCCATTTATGCTAGATCATATAACATAGTATAGTTCAAAAACATCTTGATTGAACATTGACTTCTTGTGAGTATACACATGCAACCCGGAAAATTATCTTCTTAATTCGTTCACATAATTATTTGGGATTCCTTGTATCCAACGTGGCATGAGGTCTCATTTTCGATTTTGATTCCCGCTAGGTGGTTGAGGATCATGCCCATTGGCTAGAACTTAGAAGGCCTAAACTTTGCTAATAATGTGGAGGAGGCAATCTGCATGAACCTGGTGGAGTAAAAAGAAAGTAAAAGCCATCTCATGCATCATTGGATGATCACTGAAAACAAATATACAAAAGAGGAAGTCATAAACACAGTGCAATCCTTGGAAACAAGTCACTAAAGTTCCAATCATTTGTACTATTTTCCAACATTTTCTATTCTCCATTTTTGGGGGCCCATCTCTACTTCTCGTCGTGTCAAGTAAAAGACACATCAACATCTTCATAGAACGGTAGTGTGATCATGTGGATTAAATCTGTTTCCACAGTTCAAAACCTATAGAGCTTAACTACATAATGTTTTTTGGTAGAACCATAGAGGTAGTACCATAGTAGCACGGGGGATATTTTTATTTTATACTATGGTCTCTAGGTCCATGCAAAATCGCTCTTGCCACATGACCCAGACAAATTTCATGTTCTGGTCTGCAGGCATGGCCGAAGATTTGACAGCATTTAGTGGTAGTCAAATTTCAGGCCATAATCCTAATGTTTCATGAGGCACCTGACTTTGCCACTAAGCCACCCCTTAGGATTAGCAGTGCAGGCCTTTGAGGCTTGTCTACGACATCAATGTGAATCTTATGCACAATCTTGTCCAAAACATCCACTTACAACTTGAAGTTATCAAATGGTTCTCTAGAGTTTCCGCTGAATAAGGGGACTTACGTTTTCCAATCAATTTGTTCGCTGATAACACAAGGTGATAAATATACGATCAAAAAGTGAAACAATCGTGCTTCTAGTTCCCATTGCTAAATCAATCATAATTGTTTTCTCCCAAAAAACATATGAATCCCTAAGGGAGAGGCCTTAGGGTAGCTCCCGTATGTAGTGCTAACGGAATGGACCATTATGATGGAACCTGAAATACATATTTGTTTTCCAAAATAACTGAAATGAACCATTTCTAAAGGATTGTTATTCCTTCCATTTGGTTGATTCTTATTCTTGAGGGATGGGTGTTTTTTCAGTCCGTCATGGAACGGAGTGGAAAATTACAACGTAACCCACTTTTTTCTTCTGTAATCTTTAATAACACCGACTTCTCCAGAAAAAGTAAAACTTTAATTAAATTATTGTTTATTTATCAAAAATAACCACACACAATATATATGTATGTATGTATAAGTATATATATAATATAATATTATTTGAGAATTTATTGATCTTTGTTCTGTTTAAATCTTTATTATTGTATATAACAGTATGATAATTTTATTAAATTATGTAATATGTATCAACTAGAAGTAAACTATACTTACGAATTCACCAATTTAATTGAATTGTCTCTTCATGCATACGAAACAAACTGCTTCAATAACTCTTTTGATTCCTACACGTCAACGAAACATGACAACAGAATGTGACTCATCACGTTACCTCACTCATTCATTTACCTTGTCCATCCGCTTTCTTTGTCATTCCTAAGAATAACGGACCCTTAAGGCTACAAGGCGAAGCTTCTATTATAACAACATTGCGGCGGAAGTCGGTATTAAATAGCATATCCACAAGTTCAACCACTCCCACATGCAGGTACATAGTTAATCCATCCAACCAATTCAGCTATGTTAGAAGAATGTGAAAATAGCATTCCAAACAGCAACAATATCATTCAATGCAAACTAAATTGCCAAACGTCATGTAGAAACTAACGACTGTTGTCCTTAGTAGAAGTTAAACTCCCCTCACAAATGCACTAATTAAACCTAAAGACAATGAAGAAGCAATGTGCACCTAAGGAATAAAATCATCAACCTGTAGCCCGTTGCTAAATCCATGACAAAGAATTTGCTCTTTCTACTTCAAAAGACTTTACCTACATCCCAAATTATCCAAAGCCTTTCCATTTCACAAAAAATTAATCAGTCAGTAGAAAACCAGCCATTCTCAACTAATATTACCATTCCACGCAGTTAGTCAAAGTTTGGAAGGTCAAATTAGTTCTTCGTGAACTTCAAATTCGATGAGATGTACGTTCTTAGTGCATAAACACTTGATGACTAAATAGAAGTATACTAGGATAGAAGAATTTTGGACATATAAAACCAAAAAACTGTACGCCAAATTTGAGGATGAACTGTGATAGATTTGAATGTCTAAAATCAAGATCTAAAGCGGCCAACTGTTATTCGGTGTTCCTGGTACATCATTTGGAATTCAGACAGATTGAATGTTTACCTCCCTTTCAAGCTTCAATGGTGGAAATGGAGCGGTGAGAGGGGAGGAATTGCTTCAATTGGGTTAATTTCTGCAAATCAAATGAAAGGGATTTGAACGCTCTTTGAAGGTAGGGTTTAGTAGTGTCATGATTACCGCTGATGTTGGGGAAGCAATAGATTTATAATATTTTATGGGCTTAATCTTGGTGCCTTGCTTGACTTTTGAGAACCACGTTTGGACAACAATATCGACTAGTGTTTTTGTTATATAATTCATTTAAGGGCGTCTTTGGTTGGGGTATTAAAAGGTAACGAATGAAAATGATAATCATCGATTATTGTTGTATTAGAAAATAAAAATGGAATTAAAAATGATATTTGGTTTCAAAAAACTAATCAATCATTTATAATATATTTGGTTAAAAATATACAACCAAATTTTTTAAATAGTTAATTTGACACTAATATTGATATATCTTTTGCAAACTTTATATGATATTTTCAAATTTATATTTTATTCAAAAATAAAAATATTATTGTTTTCTCAAAACCACATAAAAGCGTATTATATCGACATGGATAAAAATAAAAGTAAACATTAAAATGGAAATGTGTCTCGATGCATTACACGAGTACCTTCTAGTATATAATAACGTGTCACTAAATTCCAAAATTTGGGAAGAAGAAAAAAAAGAGAATGGCAAGCTATACACAAAATCTGAGTAAAAAACACACATAGTCGAATATATTGATACCCTGATAATCTTCACCCAACATGTTTCTCAAAAAAAACATCCTCATCGGAAGAGGATAACCAAATTACGCACGTGCTTTTTCTGGTTTTCCACTATAAAAAGATATGCACGTGTGGTTCCATACCCATCAATGGTATCACTCATACGAATTAGCTCACGACATTTACCACTTATTGAGAGGCTGGACAACATCTCATCTCGTACTCGTTCTCTATGCGACCTCATATCACAGGTAAGTAAACTAACTCGGTTTCTGTTTTGACATCTACAACATGTAATAAAATCCACCACCAGACAAACCAAATGAACCACTGCTAATCGTTGAGTTCTTAATAAAGGAAGTGTATTAACAATGAAGGAGGTAGAAGATGGTTTATGGCAAATATAAAAAGTTAATGGGCCATTAATTAATAGTTGATGCATATTATTGACAATTATTCAGGTGTTCGGTGTTTATCAAATATTAGCAGTAAGATTTTAGTCCCGTAAAATTCAACACTATCACTTACTTACTGTATAAGGTTTTAGTCTACCAAAACGGCATCGTATGCAACAATTTACCCGATAAGCGCTAACCATGGTAAGAGTCATCGCCTTCACTTACCAGGTAAGGGCCTGTTAAGATTCAAGTGTTTACCATTACGTCAAAAGTAATTGCTGGTGGAGAAGGCGCAACTTATTTTCTTATAGCGTAGCAGTCAGCGTCATGTTTTGATTTAGAAAGATGTTCAATGACCCAACAACCCCCCCCCCCTCCGGGGGGCATACGCCAGCAGAAATAAGATCTTCACTAAAAGTCAATGACTGCAGAACATGTCTTTGACATTATTATGCACTCCATGATATTTGAACCCATGATCTGCTCCTGATACCACATGTTAGGATAACGCTTACTATTATGCCAAAAACAATTGTTGATGAAGAAGACACAACTTAAATTAATATCAATTTAATTTAATCTAATCGATACGGTTGATATACACGAGGCTACTTCTAAATTATAATTTGATACAAAAGTTACCACCCGTAAATTTTGGTTTGTGATTAAAAATCCACCGATTCAATTTAATTATTAAAATTTAGAATTTTGGTGTAAAAAAGAAGACAAACCCCTGAAATATATTTAAACCCTTGAAGAGCAGTTCACTCCTTCATCTTTCTCCCTGACCGCCGCCGCCGGAGAAACGAATAACAAGATGAGGCTATTAACCCACAACATGCTCTCCTCAAACATCAAGGGAGTAATCAATGGCTTCCCTCTCCTAATCCAAGCAGAAAGAGTCGTCGAGAAGCAAGTCGATTTCAATCCTGATTTCCTCAAGAACATGTTCTCCAAGATCGATTGGAAAGCCCTAGCCGACGCTTCAAAGACCATGGGATACGATGAACTCCCTGACGAAGTCCCCGATCCTTCGGTGCTCGATTCTCAGGAGTTCTTGCAGAAGTTCCACCATGCACTCCTGGAGCTTCACCTCGAGGAAGGCGCGCTCGTTTGCCCGGAGACTGGTCGAAGGTTCCCTGTTAATAAGGGAATACCTAATATGCTCCTCCATGAAGATGAGGTCTGATTAACAATTCCTTTGAGTTTTATCCGTTTATTAGATCGTATGTAATATGTGCTTCAAATACATGGAAATTTTCTGAGGTTTGATGTGCTCTGGGATCATTTTGTTCCTCTCGTGCATTTAGGGTTTCTGAATCGTAAAAAATTTCAGTATTGTGAAAACATGAACATCACTGATTCTAACATCCATATTCAATATTCTGAATCCGAATTGCTTGCTACATCTGCATTGAAGTATAATTGATACCATCATCAACATTGAAACAGTCACAGCTTTGTGTGTGTGTATATATGTATTATACATATAAAACATCCTTCCCTACTTGTTCACTATAACATCTAAAAGCAAAAACACCTATTAATCTGATAGATTAAGGAAAGAATAAAGCGTATAACCCTGATTTTATAAATGAAAATTGTGAAAAAGATTGGATGCTTGTCTAATACTCCCATAAAGGAAAATCGGAGATCTTAGCGATCATTGTCCTTTCAGCTTTCAATCCTAACAAAGAATCAGTTTTGAGAACAATTGGACGAAGTGATATAGGTCTTGGTATATTCAATCGGAGTTGGGAGATAGCATGAAGTGAGGTGTTAATCTTTCATGCAAGTGTTACAATGACTAGCATCTTTCATTTTTTTCTCTTTCTGTTCTTATTTTTAATGCCTCAGTGAGTCTCATCAAGATGGATCGATTGATTTAAGTATTAATGCACTTAAGTAGGTTGATTTACTGGTTAATTTATTAGAGTTATTTTCTGTTAGCAGCAAAGAGTTTATTATTTGCTTCCGTTGGGGTGTTTACAGCTTCATAGTAAAAAATCCCCTATTTCTATAGGTCTTTGGCATACCTGTCTTGACATAGGAGCAACCCGTCTTCTAATCGATTAACTTCAAGACCAAGAAACTGCTTTTACTATACTAGTTCTTCATCTGAAACACTCTGATAGATCTTCCTTGATTCTGCTAAAATTTGCTCTTTTCTCATATTCTATTGTTGTGGTTACTTTATACGTGTTTGTATGGGTTATACACATTTAGCCTGTTCACTTGTGGCTTAATGAGCTTAGTGGATAAACCGGCTTATTCGGACAGACAAACAAGGCTCTTTACCTTGGGCTTATTCGCTCAGAAATGGGGTTATTAGCCCAGATGAAAAACCTGTGTTGTCCAGGTTAAGCCAAGGTAAAAGACTTGCCCTACCCTTACACAATAGTCACGCCTCTCTCAAGTCTCTTCTCCATCGATCCAACACCCTTCGATCTCTTCTCCATCAATCTCTTCTCCATCGATCGACGGCTGTTGCTCTCTTTTCCGTCGATCGACCATACCTGTTGCAACGAGTAGCAAAGGAGTAGCCAGCGGCGACAGCTACGACGATGTAGAGCGGCGAAGGCGACGAAGACGAAGGCTCAGACCGGTCGCCGGTGACGAAGCAAATAGGGGTGGCTGTTCGGCCATACTATTGCTATCCATAATGGAAAGGAACATTTACCTATTTATATAACAGATCGTATGGTAAAAGGGTACCTGTACCCGAAACCGACACAGGTGGGTAGGTAGAGATCCACAGTTTTTAGAATCAATAGGTCTTGGGATGTGTCTATTTATCTATCTCTTGACTCGAAATATTTTGGCCGATTGATCTTCCAATATGCTAGTTTCAACAACTCTCGTTCTTTACATTTCTTCCTAGCTGCTTGGCCTGTAGTAGGTACCTGGTTCACTGCGTTAGATTTTATTTTATCTATTCCACACGTTTAACTAGTAAAAAAATAAAAAAGGGTCTCTCTACCAGGTGTTCTACCCGTAGCTTCGGGGGGTATTCACGTTTGGCAGAATAAATCCTCCTCTATCTGTTGCGGGTCGAGGGCTCCCATTATTGGTATCAAACCAATAGCGATTCCAGGGGTCACGGACCGACCATAGAACCCTGTTCAATAAGTGGAACGCATTAGCTGTCCGCTGTCAGGTTGG